ATATATCTATATATCTATATATCTATATATCTATATATCTATATATCTATATATCTATGTATCTATGCATCTTCGTATTGTATCTATGTATTACTTACTCGCCAATGGCCGTGCGCTTAGAGCCGAGCAGTGGGCTTGTCTCCTTCGTTGTCATATCGGAGAATACGTTGATGGTGAGGGTATAGCTGGTCACATAAATGTTGGATAGATCGACAATTGTCTTCGTCTTGAGAAAGATGCTCTTGCGGAACTCGCGCTCATTTGCGTCTAAGTAGATCTTTCCCGTTTGCCGCAGAAAGTCATCGAAGTTGGTGACTTTCGTGAGCTTGGGAAATAATTGCAGTGTCTGCAATGACACAGCATTTAGGCAGGCGAACAGTAGCAGCAGCTGCAGCGTCTGCACTTTGCACATCCTCATCTAAACGGCGAAATGGCGAGAGATGATCGAGAGTTCGATGATGCAAAAGTGAAAACGATTAGATAACAGTTATGGATGGGCAGGTGTATCCATCTAGAAATTACTCTAGCAAAATTGATGCACTCTCTGCAAAGTCATCATGTTTATCGCAGTCAAAACAAATGTGGGAAGTCTTTGGAATTGTATCGCGTGAATTCTAAGAACAGATAAGCAAACAGAGTAATAAACATTTCGACACTTGATAGCAGACAATTAGTTGAGATAAGTTTTATATCCAAAGCGTTTTTTGTCGAGTGAAATATTATTTTAATCTTTATTTTCTTAATTTATTACACCGGAGTTGCTGGTTTCACAATACACAGTTCGACTTGGTCTATTTGGTTTGCCTCATTTTTGGTATCATCGCGTGCAATGTTGAACTACAATTTTAAAGGTTTCCATTATGTTTTGGATGCTTGCTTACATTGATGTGATTCGATTTATTTTATTTTAATATATACACAAAATTAGCAGATGGTTTCGCGTTCGATTCGTATCTCTCTTTTCTGCTCTTGGCAGGGAAATTACGTTGAAAACAAAAACAAAGACAACTGTTTGTCATGCATATTAATTTCACTTTCGATGGTTCAAATAATAACATTTCATAGGTTTCTGATGCGGGTGAAAGGCGCTGAGTCATCGCAGATGAGAACACGGGGATCTTTTAAATTATTGCAAAACCTCAAACAGTATTAATAACTAATAAATTATTTTCAGCACACGCACACATACACAAGCAAACACTTATAATCCATATGAAGCAGCTGCACACTAATCACCTTTTGTTGTAATTATGTTTTATATCCGCTATTGTTGGCTTTCGGCTGTGCACCTCTTTTGGTATGAAGATCTTATATAGAGATGCTGCTGCCTCGACCGCTGCACACGTATTAACGCGCGGTGGCGATAGGCGTTTCCATTTTATAGGCCCTGGCTTTGACCATAAATCCGAAGACGAAATTCAAAAACCTGCTCAGCATAAGTCCAAGCATCATCTTCCAATTTCCTATACAGTGTGTGAGAAACACACCCGAGATTCAATTTATTCACTGGAACTGGTCACCTACTAAGCGTATTAAGTGTAAAATGTTTTTAGTACTGAAGCAACAAAAAAAAAAAAAAACAAACAAATATACAAAATTTGTAACTGACGTAGAGACATCAAACATAATTTGTATTAATTTATGTGAGTTCTTGACCAGATGTGGAATTTATGGTGTACTTTGAGGAAAATGAATAAATTATTCTTGACGATTAGCATACACATGCTTTGTTATAGATCTTTTGGCCTTAGCATGTTCTTGCGAATCAGTTCAGTTTTAAGACGGATTACCCAAAACGTATTCCTAAAAAGCGTAGGCTCATCTTGGACAAACGGTTCTTCGGTTTTTTAGGCCATGTTTTGGCCATCAATACAAAAACTAAAACAAAAAAAAAAAACAACAACTTTGTTAGCAGAAGCCCAAAGTTCATGATAAAATTTCTACTAAAATTTTCCGTCTCGCTTCAAACTTTTGATTTGAGCAGCTTACTCTTTCCCATCGAGCATATTTGTTGTAACTGGTTTTTAGTAGCAGACTAAATAGTCGAAGAATCGAAGATTCAAACATAATATGGGTAAATTTTGTTTAAGCTCTGAAGTGTCAGTTTCTTAAGGACATGAATATTTGCTAATAAAATTATGAATATCATAATTGCCTAAAATCAATTTTGGTTTTATGATTAACATTGGCGTTCTGCTTTTCATAAGTTCTTCAGCATAACATAATTAATAACTAAATTAATACAACCGTGAGGCGTTTCACGGTGAAGCAACGAAGTCTAAATTAATTTAATTATTTAATTAAATTTAAAAAAATTATTATTGCATGGCAAATATATGATTGGTTTGATGGCATAATTCTTATTTCATATTAATGAATATAACAATAATGACTATATATATAGAAGTTTTAGTTAATTTTGTTTAAATAAATAATAATAATAATTGATTGAAATATAATAATAATTGATTATTGATTGTTTTATAAATCTACTCATTTTTTTATGATTTATTAATTTATTAATATTAATTACATATATATTTTTACATTTTAGCTTACACTTCCATTTCTACAGAAAAGCGTTAATAAATGGAACCAGTTTGGTAGGCGTATAGTCCAGACTATACATAAATTTAATTTCATGTTGATAAACATGTCTAATAGGCATTCAGAAATTTACAAGTTTCAAGTTACAAGTAAATATAATAAATTTGATTGAAACTAAAAAAATTAATTTAAATTTATTCAAAATTAATTAGCTTAAAAAGAGAATGGAAAATCTTCAGAATATCAATATAATGAATACATAATCCAGCAATAAAAGGGGATTTACCTGGGAAATTAGCAACAGCCAGTCAAAGTCTCGGTCTTATAATTATCAGGTTGAGCTGGAAGAAGCAAGATACCCAAATGTAGCAATATGCGTCAATATGGATTTATATCTAAGAATATTTGGCAATCTTAAATCATTTTACTGACAAAATAAAAAGGCACTGCGGGCTTTGATCTATGTCTGGATAGATTGCTTAACTGCCTTAGCAATTGTCAGCTCTTACAACATTTACGATCTCGGTCAATAATTGACAGTGAAAGAGAGAGAGAGAGCGAGAGCGAGAGAATTTTTGGAATCGAGATTGAACTAGGCCAGTGGAAATTTCAAATTAACAGAGATATGAGAACCTACGATGGCAGTGGGACATGTAAACAGACCACGCCTCGTCAACCAGGTACTTATATGTATACCGTAATGATACAAGTGCGAATTAGGCATTTGCAGACAGCCAAGAATGATAGTCATGATTTGAATGCCGCGTATGTAGAAATCTATTTGCACATTTCTTGCGCTATGGAGCCCCGTTTATCTATTATTTGCTTGTCTAATCGTAAAGAAAGTGCATGGATGGGCGCGACTATATAAAGCAACGTTCAATGCTCGATTCTTAACTAGTCTCTGCAATATATTCGACATGTTCAAGCTTTTGCTCTGCTGTCTCGTCGTGTTCTCTGGCGCCTATGCCATCAATCATGGTACTCAGGCTGCCGATTTCGCTGCCTATGTGGTGAGTCGTTATGTTTAAGTGGTATATCCCTACAAAGTATAAATTAAAAAAAAAAAAGGTTTAAACAGTTTGTGAATAAGCCAAAGCAAAGTATCTTCGACTCCTTTTCAGTCTGTCCGTCCAGAACAAGAGCTATGTATATTCGTATATAATACTTAGCAGAATTTTTATAATTTTTGAAGAATTTAGAAATGTTTAACAATATTAATGAACCATAAATTAAAAAAAAAATACAAATATTTAATAAGAATCATTGCTGGCTACAAAAAGAACTTTGACTTCTTTTAATTATATATGATATGTATAATACCTACAATTTTTCAATTTTAGGCAAAATTTGGTAAAACCTATGCCACCGTAGCGGAGAGAAATGCTGCCCAGTACTACTACAACTATCACAAGAACCAGATAGCTCAGCAAAATGCGCTGGCTGATCGAGGGGCGAGCAGCTATCGAGTGAAAGAGAATCAGTTCTCTGATATTAGATTGATAACGTTTGCCGCACGCTTGCCACAGGCTGTTTATCCCGCGACATCAGGCAGTACAACGCCCCTCACACCAGTCGATGTGGCGCCAGCTGAGTTTGACATGCTGAGCCAATGGGGCTTACAGGTGAATGCCCAGGATCAGGGCACCGTCTGCAGCAGCAGCTGGGCCTATGCAGTGGCTCGCTCCATTCAAATACTGAATGCCATTCAGGTTGGACAGAATATGCCCCTGAGCAACTCCGCCCAGGCACTGATCGATTGCGCCGGCATGGGCAACGGCTGCACCACACAGGTGCCCCAAGTCGCCTTCGACTATCTGCGCCAGGCCGGAGTCTTCTTGGTAAACGAGGCGGACTATCCTGCGAACAAGGAGCAAAACCAGCAGGGCATGTGCCTGCCCCAGATGGGGGCGAGTCCTATCAAACTGGATACCTACGGCACCATTCCCGACGGCGACGATGCTCTGCTCATGCGCTACGTTGCCAGCGAAGTGCCCGTGATTGTCGAATACAATCCGGCGACCTTTGGATTCATGCACTACAGCGGCGGCGTCTACGTGCCCCCGGTGCGGGCTCAGGCCAGCAGTTCCCAGTTCCTGGTGGTCGTTGGCTACGGACACGATGCGGCCAGCAATCTGGACTATTGGCGATGCCTCAACTCATTTGGCAACACTTGGGGTGAAGAGGGCTTCATCCGAATCGTACGCAGCCCTGCCCAGCCCCTTGCCAAGCGAGCTATTTTCCCCAATAGCTTGGGTGCGATTGCGACTACGCCTGCTACACCGACTACAACCTCTACGCCTACTCCCTCGTCTACACCCCCTACGTCATCTACACCCTCTCCCTCATCTACACCCACTCCCTCATCTACACCCACTCCCTCATCCACACCCACTCCCTCATCTACACCCACTCCCTCATCTACACCCACTTCCTCTCCTAGCTCAACAACATCTGCTCCATCTACCACAATCACACCATAATTATATTCTGAATGCTTGAAGGCAATTTGACTTTTATATACATATGTCAGTCTTATCTAGCTTAAGCTTATCAAGCTTCCCTCTATATATTTAAATATATAAATATCGTTAACAGACCATTGTGTGCTTTTCTATTTTTGGTTTTCTGCTATTAGAGTTTATGTCTTAATAATAATCGGCATCGCTAGTCAACTCGCTCGACTTGCTGAAATCTGAACCAAATTTTATAGCTAGCCCTAATAACAACTCATCTACAAACTTTTTCAAAATCTGTTGAAATCTTTATTTCTTTCTCAAATGCTAGTTAAGCCAACTTCAGTTTTAAAACATATTCTCTAAAAGAGAGCGAAACTAGGTATAATATCTAATGAGCTCTTAATGACTTGCATATTCAACTATAAAATTTAATGAAGTTGTATTTGATGGGCTGTGGACAAAAATGATGTCTTTTTAGCATATTATTATTCACATTTAAAAACAACGGAATTATTTATTGATTTCGTGGCCAGCAAGCACACATAGAAAATAATAAAGAACTAAGCTCAAGAAATCAATTTGAGTAAATGCTGGGAATATTCCCAGGTTAATTCTTTCCTAAAAATATATTATAAGATATCTGCAAGTACTACTTCTCTATACTAAATTCTCATTTTAAAATCATTTACAAATCTTTGTATGCCCTGAACCCATTGAAAATGGAAAAATAGTATAATATATAGTCTTGATCAGGGAGTCGAGCTAAGTCGTCTGTCAGAGCTTATGTCTAAGGTTGATTCTCTTTATTCCATGCGTATGTTACTTCTTTTGTATTCACTAAAGAAGCGTAAAGGGTATCTCTTAGTCGAGCAGTCTCGACTAGAGAAGTCTTGTTAAAATCCCAAGTTGTTGGCCTATAATATTGACCTTAGGGCATTCATAAATCACATTTGAAACGTCAGCAAATTAAACTCGTTTTAGCTATGTTTCCATAAAACTTCTTCTTTTTCCATACGCTGTCATCGCTTATATTATTTAACTAATTACCGTAAAACAGTTTGTTATGCATTCATATTGTTCGATGATTGATAAAATTATTAATTTTGTTTTGTTTTCTTGTTTTGTGAAAGTTTGTAACTTTTTTGTTTTGTTTTATTCAATTTTTGTATTTAGTTTATTTATTGATTTTTCATCTACAAGCGGAGCTTTACAGACTTAAACGCTAAAAATTAACAAGTTCACATAATTTTTTTTTTGTTTTTGTAAATTGTTGATTTTTGTTTTGTTTTATTTTGTTTTCTTCTTTCTTGTTGTCTTTTATTTTGTTGTAATTTTTTGCATATATAATTTTGTTTTTGGGTTTGCTTAGAAACTCATAAACCAAATATAAATTTCATAATCATAAATTTCACGACTCAGCCAGCGCAGACAAAACACATATATATTGTATTATTTTGTATTATTATTGTTATAATATATGCAACTGTGTGTGTTCTTTTTCAAGGTTTATAGTATCTTTACTCAAATCTGTGTTCGAAACATTTATTTGGTTTTCATCATTAATATGTGTGTATTTATTATAGGTCGATTTACCTCATGCTGTTTATCCTCCATATATTTTTTAATTTTTTTTTATATCTTTCGTTCATAGTATTAAATAATATTATATATAATTTCATTCTGAGTTTTATGTTTAGCATTTTGTTATTATCAACATATATATATATATATATATATATATTGTGGGATTCTCTATTATTAATTTACTTTAGAATCTTGTCACTCGTAAAGCAAAGCTCAATGATATGATTCACGCTATATTTTTTATTTTTAATTTTTGTTTGCACATTTGCGTTTATTATTATTTTTGCGTGTGTATTTGTGTGAAATATGTGTTTGGTATGCGTATATTTTCATGAACTATAAAATAATATGTGATTCCTTTGAAATTATTTTTTTGTTACGGTTTTTTTTGTTACTTTTTAAAATGTTTTCGTTTTTCTTTTTAAACTAAATACAATATAATATAATTTGTTTTTCATTGCTTTTTCAAATATGCACAAAATGTGTGTTTTCAATTTGTTTATAACAACGGCTAGTGTAATTTTGTTGCTGTTATTTAATGCACATTTACGCTTGTTTTTTTTTTTATTATTTCGTTCATAAATTAAAATTAGTTAAGTTTATCTACATATGCTCACAATGTTGTTATTCTTGTCCATATAATTCTTAATAATATTTAACTAATAAATATCATTTTATATTTCTATATATATATAGATTTATATATATATATATGTTAATGTATATAAGTATATTTATGTATGAAATAAATAAATGTATGTATGTAAATATATTTAATAAAATTTCCAATGTCAATTATTTTTTGGTTTTGTGTTGTGTGTTGGCTAGTGTTTGTTGCTGTGGTTTTTGTTGGGTTTGCACTGTTTTATGTTGACTGTACTTTGCCTATTGGCCGTGTCAGTATTTTAATAATAATGTATTTTTTTTTTTTAATTTGTGCCTAACAATTTGTCAGAAAAAAACAATTGATATTATAATTAGGCTTTATGGTTATAATACAAATTAATAAAAATAATAAAAAATAAACAAATTAAAAAAACTGCACGAAAAAATTTTTTAATTCTCTTTTATTTTGTATTTTAGGAAGATTTTTTTATATATTTAGTTATTTGTCTATTTTTTTTTTATTTACTTTTGTTTTTGTATGAAGCTTAAAATGGACAAAATATGATTTTTATTATAATTTCTTATATTTTTTTTGTTTTCTTTTTTTTTATCTTTTTTTTTTGTAAATAGTTTTTCTTTTTCGCTATGTTATCTGCTTTTAGTTGAAATTTTCATATTATTCTATTTGTTTCCTTTTTGTTTTTACTGCAATGAATCATAATTTATTTATTCTTGAGATGATCTTGATTCCTAGTTACTTTGAAATACTATACTCTATTAATGTACTCATTGAATTAAGTTCTGTTAGATATCATATGAAGAGTTTGGGTTGGTTTAAAATTTACCTTTTAGGGCTCTTTTGTGTGTCATGTAAATATCGCGTCTTTATAGTTGCACTTTTTAAATAGCTTCTCATGGTGTTCTTTTTATTTTTTTGTTGAAGAACAGAAAATGGAAACAATCGAAGAAGAATTTCGAAACTCTTTTAAATTCTGAACTAATATATATATATATATATAAAATACATATATTATTTGAATATTTACTCGAGAAACTACAATTTATTTAGTTAAGCTTTTTCGGTTTTCATTTTAAAGTTGGGCATGAAATTAGTTATTTTTTTTTTTTTTTAGGCGGAGACATTTACTGGCAGTTTTTTGTTTATTTTTTCTTTTTGGATATACGTTCATAAAAAATTAGCATACATTTAAAATGAGCTTATAAAATAAAACAATTGAATTAATTTTGACCGCCCAAATATGTTTTGTTAATTTTTGTAGATTTTACATTTACATCATTAGAGGTACTCTTTATATGCATGTTTTTTGAAATGAGCCCAAAAAAGTACAGAGAGATTTTTGTTTGCTGAATTTTCTTTGGTAAATGTTTTTTCCACTTTACGCTTACGAACACATGTATAATTAATTAAATTAAATTAAACTATGCAACTTAATTAACTGGCCATCGAGGTGGATTGCCATTTATTAAATGAAAAATGCCCACGTGAAATCAAACTAGAATAATACGAATTTAGATTCGGGGAATATTTATGAGCTCTCGACTCTTATGCTAACACTGGTCATGAGGATCGCGAACCCAGTGGCCAGGGCGAACAGCAAAGGCATCTGCGATGAGCCAATGGCAGTGGCACCATTGCACAGCTCCTGGGTGCAGGCGCAATAGGTGGCGGAGACATCGTGGGTGCCCGAACGCCTTATGCACTCCTTGTCGGTGCGCTCATCGGGTATATAGCCACAGCCGCGCACAATGCGAGTCTTGCCATAAACTGTAAATTAGAGTTGTTAGCATTGCCACAAATGTCAGCCTAACATGTAAGAGTATTACGAAGAGCCAACTCATAATTGCTCAAAAATCTACTTTTCTAAGTATTCACTTGATTTCAATTAAACTTACTCTTCTGAACAGTCTTGCGGCACAGTATGGGCTTGTATTTGTCCTTCAGGTGCTCCAAAGGTTCCTGTTTGCTGCAGTTCACCTCGCCGATGGAGTAAGGCTGAAAGGGATCACCGCAACGTGGATCGTACTCGCTGTTGCAGTCATAGCACATAAGTGCCGTGGAAACTGTAAAGGGCACGTGTAGAAGCAGAGGGAGAGAGAGAGACTTTAATACAAATCCATCCATTATCATATCAAATTGCATTATGTATATGTGAATGTCTCTGTGTGTGTGTGTGTGTGTGTGTGTGTATGTACATATGTGTGCAATGCCACTCGTAAATGCCAGGGCTGCGTTGTCTAACAATGCGAGCCATTTGAAAAGCCAGCGAAATGGCTGCAAGGGGACCCCAGGGGTGGAGTGGGTGGCCCTCTGGCATTATATTTGCATTGCATAAACCTGAGCGCTTACCTTGTATGCAGCACAGCACGCCTAACAACAGCAACGTTTTTTCCATAAATGGTGACATTTCAGCAGCTGTAGTTGTTTTTGTTGTTAATGTTCTTTTATGTACTTTGCACTTGCTTAGAATACTTGTATTTTCTCTTAAGTTGTCAATGAAATGCGCTCACTGTTTTAATTCTTATTTAACTCGAGCTAAATTATCATGTTAGCTGAAATACAAGAAGATTAAATAAGTAAAGTTGATTTTTTTTTCACACTTTTTCATTTAGTTAATTTATATAATCTGCGCGTTTTTTAATTTTTTTTTTATGTATTGTCATCATTTTTGGCACTCTTTTCCTTGTGTTATTCGTATTGAAGACTGGAAGTCTGCTCAACACTTTAAAGCGAATGAACTTAATTGTGAACCATTTAGCTCAACGAAAATCGTTTGACAAAAATAAATAGAGCTGCGTGAGGGAAAGAAAAACAGCAAACGCAAAGTGGGCCGCATTTTTGTTGTCGAAAATAGGCAAAATCAAGACAGCATAACGCGCGCGGTGGTACGGGGAGGTTGAATTGCAGGACAATACTGCGCGCAGCGGCGCAATGCAGCGCAGCACAGAGAGCTAGAGTGAAAGAGTGCGCACCAGGCAGTTGCTCATCTGGAGAGTAAAAGTGAGCTGCAAAGACGCTGCAGCTGCGATGACGCGCTGTGGAACATAAGTTTGTGGAATGCAATTGTGAGTGTAAAACAGATAATTCACACGCAATGCTCAGCGGGCGAACATTTAATTGGATTGTAATGTTGTTCTTGTTGCTTTTTGTAATTGGGCACTGTTGTTCATTTGAATTAAGTCCGTTATCAGCTGTGACGAAATAGGCTCAACGGTTATCTCCTTGTTTCATTTCATTATATTTAAATTAATTAAAATATTAAATTAATTCTTTTGCTTATATGAAAATTTATATTCAGGTTTCGTTAATTAATTTTATTTATTTTTAATTATTTTTTCACAAGTTTTAGTATGTGTAATACTTCAATTGGTTTACCAACTAATCGGTCAAATGAAATGGTGTTGTCAAAAATAAATTGAGCTCCGTAAAAGGAAAACAGCAAATGCAGAGTGAAACACATGTTTTTTTCACTCGTTTTTTTTCGAAAATAGGCAAAAGTAAAATGGTATAACGAGTGTGGTAGAGTGGGAGCAGGAGAACTTGCATTGCAGGGCATTACTGAGCGCAGAGGCGCATTATTGTGAGTGTGTGTGTGTGTGTGAAAGAGTGAGGAAGGAAAAAGAGAGCAAGCTGGTACACGACGAAGTTGAGTGAGAGTCAGACGCTGCAGCTATGATGACGCGCTGTGGCCCAACACATGCGATCCACTTATTGGAATCTAAGTTTATGGAACATAAAACTGAGTGAGAATTCGCACTCAATGCTCGGTTCGAGTCGGTGACATACAGCAGTCAAGCGGCCATTTAATTGGATTGCAATGATTGCTGCAGTTGCTGTTGTTGTTGTTAATGTTGTTGCTGTTGTTAGTGCTTTTATGTTTCCTGTGTGTCATCCACCCAACATAGGCAGCCAATTGCTTGAAATTGATTTTCCCCGTGTGCAGTTGCTGCCAACTAGTACTCCCATATATGTATGTACATATAACAGGCCTTTGGGGTATACAGTTATGCGGCATGGGCTGGCAGTTGCCAGTGTAGCTAGGGTAGCTAGGTAACCTGCCCTCAACTAGGCCAGGTGAGGAAGGGGCCGAAGGGGACGAATGGGCCGAACGGGCAGAGGGCGGTAATCGTAGTTTGCAGTTCGATGGGTCTCTCAGGTTAGCCAAATGACTTGTTGTGGATTATGATAATGCCTTGCGATAGGGGTTTTATTACACTATATAACAAAGGAGAGTTTAGCTAACTGTTATGCAGTTAAGCCAAGTGTTAATCAAATTTAATAGCCAATAGAACATTTCATTGTTTAGCTGAAGGGAATTGAAGCCATTTCATGAAACTGTTTCAGTCTGCTTGGCTAATAAATGTCAAAAGGACTCGGATGTAATCACATAATTGCCCACAGAATGATTGCACCACAGCTTGAAGTGTGTGGCTTCCAGCTGCGGCAGCCAGACCCAAGATGAAAGTCTTTGACTGGGACAGCATGTAACCCCTCCGACCATGGTTCGTATACGTAATCAAGAAAGTGCAATGCACTGAAGGAAGCCATAGGAGGTTCACAGTTGAAGCACAGCCTGCACTTACTTGCCACACGCACACACACACATATACAGTAACAGAGACACTTAGAAGGCAGATATCATCGGAGCATGACAAAAGGCATATATTACGCATACGCCTCATGTGCGGCTCACTTAAAATTTGGGTCTCTGGCACAGAAGGCTCAGCAGAAGGAGGCGAATTCGCCAACTGTAGGGTGTTGGCAATCAATAAGGTAAGCAGTGGGACCGTTGTCATGCCAAGCAGTCAACTGCCGCATTCCTTCCTGCCTTCTGTTTGAGTTGCTGTTTCAGTTTCAGTCGCCTTTATGGCTCAGCGACACGCGTCAATCAGAAAAGACGAAATTGACATGTTCCGTTGTCAGCCAATGATTATTTACCATAAAAACAAATATATATATATACATATGTACATATATATGTATATTTATACTTATACATTTATGTTACGTTGCGCATTTGTGAAGCGATGCACATAGCTGTCTGTCAGCTGCATGCAACACTGTGCGTGGGCGGTGGGCGGCGCCTGGGAAAATTCAATAACTGACCTAGTTCAGTTCGGTAGTCATCCTATTTTCTGGCCTGCCATGTGTCTCCCAGTTCTTTCAGATCTCAGACTCTTGTGTCGATTCCGGGTGAGCTAATGGCTTTTCGGCTGCTTTTCGTCCTATGCCTTGGCTTATGTAATACCATTACCCATACAATTAGCAAAAAAAAAAAAAAAAAGAAAAGGGCACAAGCGAAACGGTTTAGTGCTAGTTTACCTTACTATTTTCTTCTTCTTCTTTTGCTCTTTGAATATTGATTAAACCATTATAAAAAAAAAGGCGCATGGCCATAGCCATGCAAACAGTGGGAGGGGGCAGATAATAGTCGCAATGGTTGTTCTTGTTGTTTTTGTTGTTGTTGTTGTAGAGGGGGGCGGTAGCTAGTGTCCAGTTAAGCTGGATTGTTGTATAATGCAAAAAATGTATGCGAAATCATAAAAGTAATGGCATATGTGAAAACTAGGAAATTCTTTTAAAATAATTAAATACAATTATTAAACAAATAAAAATAGTTTGTGTATATTTTATTTTAAATAAAAATTATTATAGTTTTATTTTTTTATTTATTGTGTTCCATTTTATTATATGATTAGCATACTTTTTTTTATAATTTATTGATTTAAATAGATTTTATTTTGAGGCTGGAAAAATTTGCAACTGTTTTATAATCACTTTTTGCACTTTTGTATTCGCAACACTTTTACTCTCACAGGACACAAAACTTATATAATGCAAGTTCTATTGCATTTAAACGCCTGTTCTCTCGGGCTTTATATCAAAGGAATGGATTTATTTTGTGTAGAAATTGTGCTTGGTTTATTTACGTAAGAGGCGAGAGCACATTGGAAAATTTATTTGATTACTATTGCCCAGTTGGCGCCGTTGCAAATTTCTTGTGGAACCGTTGAATGGGCGAGCGTACGTCGGGTAATGACTACTGAAGCTGCTGCCAAATGGAAATGAAAGCGAACGAAAGCGAAAAGCAGCCGAAAAGGGCTCAGTGGGCTCAGTGGGAGGGATGGATTGGGTGGTTGGGTGCTCGCTTTGAGCGCAAATTTGTGGGCAAGGCAAGGACGAAGCACAAAGTCAAAACGTAAGGCAAGAGAGTGAGAGAGCTAAAGAATCGGGTAAGGGTGGCAAAAAAGCAAAGCAAAAAAAATCAAAGCGGCAGACGGTGTGAGCGAGAGATTGCGCGCCCTAAAAGGACACGGGTGAAGTAAAGCAAGCCGTAGCAAAGAAAAAAAACTAGTTAAATCGATAGCAAACGCGCCACACAGAAACTCAATCCGGATTATCTAATGCGGCCCAATTGCATTTCCTTATGAAGTGCCATGCGAATTTTTAATATGACACGCAGAATATATTTTTACTGGCACAATTGAACTACCTTTGCTTGGTGTAACACTTAAAATTGGTAATCAAATTGTTGTATTTCTTTGCGATTCAGAGACGCTAAATCACTGCGATTACGCGACGCAAAACGTTGCAACCCCAAAAACGACAAATTTCCTTCTGAGCGGCTCTGCAAAATTTTGCAGCTGTCAACCATCGGCGGCAGCAGCGACCGGTAAGTCGTGAGAGAGCATGCGCAGTCAGTAATACACTTGTGTTAATTATACAAATATGACTAACTAATTGTATATATTTACAAAATATATTAGAGTATTGTAAGACTAGAGTTTGACAGCGATTACTATTTTGAATATTTAAATTAGATGGAAATGCGCGCCTTAAATGCAACCAGTGCTGCCAGATCAGGGTGGTTCACTTTTTCAGGGCTGACATAATATTGGACCAAAACGTTTGTACCTCTGGATTTTGCATTAACGCTCGCTTCTTTGTACTTAAAACCAAGTTGAGTATATCAGCATTTTTATAACGTTCTCGGCTTATATTTTTGGTGTCTGATCTTTCTGGCGATGCTTCGTGATCGACGTGCTCGTCGTATGCCTCCAAATCAGCTGCCGGGCTTGCCGTTTGTGCTGCAATTATTGTTTATAGTATGGGACCAAATAATTTAGTGCATTAACTCACCTTTTTTGCATTTACTGGAGTCTGATTTGACCTTATCAACTCGCTTCTGATAGGGCTTTCGTTGCTTTTGCGCTTCTTTCGACTGTCCTGAAGTTGCCTTGTTGCGTTTGCTGCTCGTAGCTGCGGCTGTGTCCCCAGGTGGAGTTTCTGGACTGGAAACGGGTAGATCCTGCTGCAAACGCCGTTTAACGTGCAAATTCAAGCGCTCTTTAATATTGGCTTTTTCAGGTGTGCCAGGAGGTTCTAGTTTAATAACTTGTAGATTTTCGGGCAGATCGGCCATCGCACAGCTGTATTTATTTATTTGCGTATAAAACGATCTGGCAACCTTGGATAGTATTTTTACTGCACAGGTAGCATCCGCACTGTCTGACGTCACAAATTGGTTTCCTTCCAATCAATTACGCTCCTTAAATGAAACACGCTCTGATTTTCAAATCATAATCAAACTAAACATTTATCGATATACCATCGTTGTTGCTATTGACTATATTTGCATACAATATTCATTTAACACTTTTCGCTTATTTAATCGTGGACTATCTCTCTACTTTCTGTACCACATCTGCAGAGTCTTCATGCGCTTCACCTTCTTCTGTAGCTGGAGGACACCGTACATGAGCGCCTCTGCAGTGGGTGGGCAACCAGGCACATAGATATCAACAGGTATGATGCGATCGCAGCCTCGCACAACTGAGTACGAGTAGTGGTAGTAGCCACCGCCGTTGGCACAGCTGCCCATTGAGATGACCCATCGGGGTTCGGGCATTTGGTCGTAGACCTTGCGGAGAGCCGGTGCCATTTTGTTTGTCAACGTGCCGGCCACTATGATAACGTCAGCTTGACGTGGAGATGCACGGAACACAACACCATATCGATCCATATCATATCTGCAATGGTTTTACTTAGCTGTAGTTGTGAATACAATTGGCTCTTTTCATACCGTGGGGCTGCAATGTGCATCATTTCCACGGCGCAGCAGGCCAGGCCGAAGGTGAGCGGCCAAATGGAGCCCTTGCGTCCCCAATTGAGTAGATCATCTAGACGCGCCAACGACCATTCTGCCATGCTAGACTGCTTGGTTCCAAAAGGCGAGTAGCCCTTCTTAGGTAGAGTAGTGCCGGACTCGACAACGGGCATAGTCTGCTGTTGGCGTGCCAAGACGGTGCCAAAAGAGCCGCCGAATGCGGCATTTACAGTTGCAGATGCATTCGCGGGGCTGCTTGTTGCACGCAGCAACTTGGCAAACGTCGGTCCAGCAATTTGTCGCAACATTTTGTCGTTGGGAGCTGACTTTTATGTAATTTGCAAAATAAACCAGGGCTGACACAAAAATACTCTTCTTCTTGGAGAAACGTAAACAATATGCACTACGATAGGTGGTAATCGAAAGAAAGTCTTGGATTGGGGTGACCATACCTCATATTTGTATTATATCGCGTACGCGTGTCCACCATATTGAATTTGGCTGGCCCACCATATGGCAACGCTTACCATACGTTTTTAGCTAACTACCCGATACCGACGGCTCTCAGAAAAATTATTAATTAAACGTAATTAAAGTGTTTAAAACCATATAAAAATATCAATAAAGTGTATATAAATGAACAATATAGCAATTAAATAATAATTCAACGTTGAATATACGCCTAAAGTACGAAAAATTTGCAATTGAAAAGTAGCAACGAAAATAAAAAAAATTTTCGCTTGCCTCGCGTCGTCCACAGCATAGTTAAGCATTGGTATCAGTGAGTAGGCACACACACGTATAGAGCGTGTGCGTGTGCGAGAGCGAAATAGGTGCTCCGCTGGCAGTGAGCGGTGAGCAGCGAGCGAATTTGTGTGTTTGTTCCAGTGTGTACATGCCATATGAATATCGACGTAAGCAAAGGACCAACTAGAGCGTTGTATTGAGTTATGAGTGTCGCTGCAATGACTATGGACGATCAGAGACCTTTGATGAACAGTTACGATAAAATGTCTACAAAATATGATCAAAATTTGCACATGATCAACAACAGCAGCAGCAGCAGCAGCATCATTAGCGGCAATAGCAACAACGGCACCGGCAGCGGGGCCGCTGGTGGTGGTGGTGTTGGTGGGGGTGGGGTTGGCGCTGCTATTGGCGCTGTTATCAGTAGTGGCCCATCTGGCCCGGCTTCGCCAACACCGTCTGGCTTTGAAGAGCAGCCGCAGTCGCAGTCGCAGCAGCAGTCGCATCATCATCATCACCATCATCATCATCATCATTCGACATCAACGCAAGCGCAACAAACAGCGGAGCAGCAACAACAGCATCGACACCACCATCACCAACAACAAGAACAGCAACAACAACAGCAACAACATCAACAGCAACATCAGCAACAACATGATGCCGCTGTTGCCGAAGCTGCCGCCGCAGCCGAACAGCGACGTTTGCTCGAAGGTATTAAATTATTATTTATGCATTGCTATGCAAAGCAAATTGTAAACATATATATGCCATATAATATATATTTATATATATTTCGTATGTAAACAACAAGACAAAACAAACAAAAAAACAACAAACAGTGTACATTTGTGTAAATTGTATAATTTGTTTAGTTTCTCTTTTTTTTTCCTTTAACTTTCAAATCCTGTACGAGGTGCGTTTAATAATTGAAATATTTACTAATAAGAATACTTAATTATTTCGCGCACCTTTGCCATTGCAAGCATTATTGTAAAGCATTTGACATTTTGTGCAAAAATTTGTTTAAAATATGATGAAAAACACTACAAAAACAGAAAAAAACCCAAATCGAAATGAAAAGAACTCCACGTCGTGTGCCTTGTTTTTTGGTTTATACAAAAGCGAACTTGATAATTGAAGCGAACACTCTTTAGAGACATTCAGCGTTCTTAATATTAGTAAATAAGTAATTTTTTTCTTAAAACCCCAATCAAAAATATATAGCAAGTGCTTAACTCCAGTGTGTGCAAAACGAACTAAATAATATTAAAATATAAATAAATAGCAATAGAAATTGCAGCCAAGCAATGAATGAAATGAAGTGCTGGAAAGTGTTGTGTGTGCAAAGAACAGTTAAATCTGCTAAATATATATACATACATGTATATGCTAAATGCATGTATAAGCAAATAAACATTATTTATGCGAAATGTGTGTAACAAGTGCAAACAAATGCCAAAAGTTGATCGAATTTCTATACTTCATCTACATCTGCGTCTTCGCCATCGCCATCGTCTTCGCCTTCGTTTTTGCCGTGTTTTACGTACAGTTTTTCGTTTTTTGGCCAATTGCGCTGCCAACGCTGCTCACGTTGCCGTTTTTTCGACAACGTCGTGCCCCTGCGCGCGTGCTCCCTTGTCATACACTATCTCTCCACTCCTTTCTCCCTCCAATTGTCTTTCTCACTCTCTCTATCAGCCTCTCTCTGGCCTCAGTTTGTCTATTCCCCACGCATTCTCTTTTGTTACGCTCTCCAACACTGTTTACACATCTTTCAAGCGCCACGCAACAAAAGCCATAAAATATTTAAATACAAAACATAAATAATATAAAATAAAAAAGAGTGCAATAATACGGTATATATGCAATAAATATTGGTTTGGTTTATTGATATATAAAATTATAATAATTTTGTGTTATTAAGCCAAAAACTTTACAAGTGTTGAATGCCAATCATGGCACAAAATAAACTTTACAAATGCAATTTCATAATACAAAAAAAGTAAATTAATAAAAATATCTCAACAAAACGCGCGCAAAATAATCGCATGTGTGTGTGTGTCTAGTGTCTGTGCGTTGATTGTTTAGCAACAAGATAAGATAATACAAATACACATTTATTTATACTATTTGAAATGGTGGCCATGTAGAATTTATTACAGTGCAAAGAAATCATTAAAAATCATTAGCGCAGACAGGCGCCTACGTCTGTCTAATTAATTACTCAATTTCAATTTAATTGCTATGTACCAGGGCTGGATAATCATTTGGAATAACTTGCAAATAAATGATAGTAAAAACAAGATTAGATAATTGAGCAACCAATTGTAAAATGACTGTTGGAGGTCATAATGAATAATTTTCTTGTCGAGTTGTGAAATCTGTACTTATTTTACTTGCGTTCGTGGTTAAAAATTACATAACATTAATTTAAAAGAGCCTCCAGCCCTGATTAGGATATAGGCCGCAGTCTTGTTGTTTGTGTTTGTCAATTAACACAAAAACAAAAACAAACAAAAGCAACGCACAAACTCACGTACACACACGCGCGATATAACGGCGCATGATTTGAAGTAAATACAAAGAAAGCAAAAATAATTGCCCTATAAATATACATATATAAATAAATATATAGTATGAAATAAAGAAATAAAAATGCATATAAAAGATTATTATTGTTGTGCTTGCACGAAAAAGAAAAGAAAAATTTAAATTAATGAAATGAAAGTCATTGAACTTTGTTATTAAAAGCTTTTTGAAGCTTACAAGAGAAAAAAGAGTGTTCGAAAATGGCAGAAAATCATGTTGATATTGATGTTTGTTTGTATGAGCTTTCTGAAAATCAAAGTGCGCGCGTCGTCGAGTTTTTTGCAAGTGTTTTTCTAAATATTTTACAGTTTTGGAACGAAATTTCAAATTTCAAATCGTTTGTTGTTTCCACAGTGTTCCTACTCTATAAAGCAAGAAATAAGCAAGAGCAAAGTCAAATGCAAACGCAAATGCGAAGATATATAATTAAGCAAGCAATATAAAAGTGCAAGCCAGTGTGCTCATTTATATATATATATATTTATTTATATATATATTTATATATATATATATATATATATATATTGAGGAAAATTTGAAGAGAAGCGAAAATTTGTGCAAGAAATAACACGTGGGCGAAAGCAACGTTCGTGGCATCAACGGCATCAAGCAAATCCGACAACAGCGGTACCAGTATCAGTAGCAGCAGCAACTACGGCAACAACAACCACAACAACAGCAACATCGAGAGCGTAACAACTACAACAATGTCACGAACGTACACGAATGATTGCAACGCATTGGTATGATTTCGTATTAAGTTCAATTACAACAAAAACAAATATAAAAAATCTGTAAATTCTGTATAAAACCAAAAAAAAAAAAAAAAATCAATGTATTCTCCTACAATGAAAAACAATTATAGCCAATATCCACAATATATCATCAAAGTTGTGCAATAACTCTATATATATTTATATTGCCCATAAAGAACATGTACATTATTATAGATTAGGATTCAGTGGAGAAGCACTCGCTGCTGTCTGCACTGTCGTCCGCTGACCATTGCGTTTGCTGTTTGCTGCTTTTTACTTTACTCCGATCTATTGTTGCCTATAGAGCCGTCTGCTGTCAGCTGCAGCGTTTTATATTTAAATACTGTCTTTGTCTTGTCTTACCCTCAATCTACGGATCTACCCACAGATGAAATCGAGACCCTCAAGCTGGAGCAGGCTCGTATGGCGCTGCAATATGCCGACGCACAGCGACGCGAAAAGATCCTCATGCGGCGTCTGGCTAACAAGGAGCAAGAGTTTCAGGATTATGTGGTAATTTTATACACAATAAGAGCTTGAGAACGAGAACTAATCGCATTAACTTAAATATTTCCGCTATAATAGAGCCAAATTGCGGAATACAAGGCACAGCAGGCGCCTACGGCATTGGCTTTGCGCACAGCTCTGCTTGATCCGGCTGTAAATTTGTTGTTTGAGCGTCTTAAGAAGGAGCTGAAGGCCACCAAGGCCAAGCTTGAGGAGACACAAAATGAGCTTTCTGCCTGGAAATTTACGCCAGACTCGAATACCGGGAAACGCCTCATGGCCAAGTGTCGACTGTTGTATCAGGAAAACGAAGAGCTCGGCAAGATGACATCCAACGGGCGGCTGGCGAAGCTCGAGACTGAGTTGGCTATGCAAAAGAACTTCAGCGAGGAGGTCAAGAAATCGCAATCAGGTAGGATCTGTAGCGCATAAAATATATTTGTATTACTATATAATAAATATTATTGTTTCCTGCATAGAGCTGGACGATTTTCTACAAGAACTCGACGAGGATGTGGAGGGCATGCAGAGCACAATATTATTTTTACAACAGGAATTGAAGACAACGCGCGATCGCATACAGACGCTGGAAAAGGAAAACGCGCAACTTCGGCAAATGAACGGCGGCAACTGTCCAAAGGAAGTTATTGATAATGCGTCGGCAACCGCGACAAATGGCCAAAACAGCAATAGCAGCAGCCAGTTTCAACAGTCCATCGGCAGCGGCAGTGGCAACGGCAGCAAATTGGAAGCCATTGATGAGAATGCTTGCTTGGACACAAATCAAACAACAGCGACGACGCTTACTGCTGATTATTATAATGGCAACGAACAACAGACTGCGGCCTCAGAGCTAACCATGCCCCCCGAAGACGGCTCCAATAGCAATGGCAGCAAAAATGCAGCTGCAGCGCGATTGGCGCGCAAGCGTAACTATGAAGAGGAGAGCGCCACATTGCCATGCATACCGGAGAGCAGTCCGCTGGTGCCGGCGATGCGTGAGGTGAGTGCACCACGCACGCTGCCACCGAAGAAATCAAAGCTGCGTGGCATAGCCACGCGACGGAGCTCACAGCTGGATGAGGAGCAAAGTCTGGGCATGATGACGCCGACGCCGACGCCGACGTCGACGTCCCTGGGGCTGGACAATGCAGTAGCTGGCATGGCCAGCGAAGAGTCCGCAGCATCAACGACGGCAGCGAATGTCTCAGAATCCGCAGTACCGCTCAATGCAGAGGGCGCCAATGAAGCGGCACCAGCACGCATCTTGACGCGACGCCGGTCGGTGCGCATGCAACAAAACGGTGGCAGTGCCGTTGAGTACTGAAGCAGCAGCGCGGATGCAGCAGTGGGAGCAGCGGCGGACTTTTAAAAAGAGCGTGCTAATATTGCATTCTGATGTCAGATGATTCAATTGAATATGATTTTTTGTCATATTTCTGCTTATGCCTAATACTAATCGTTAAATTTTAACGTTTATTTTGTGAATTGAGATTCAATTGAGACTTTGGGTTTAATAACATGATTATATATATATTCTATTACTATTACTATTATTATATTTTTTCATTCGATACATTTGTTTTGTAAAATACGTTTGTTGTTCGGTTTCCTACCCGTGCATGCAACATAATAATTATACACTACCTAATTATCCTTAGTAAAAGTCACTGATATACATAAATACATACATGCATATGTAGACATATACATACAGATATATATGTATAAGATTTTAACAATTACGAAAATGCAATTTGTCAGCGTACGAAACACACAATTTCATCCAATTATATATTAGAATTTATATATATATTTTAAAATGGCAGTTGAAAATCTAAAAAGTTCGAACTTTAAATTGTCGTATAGCTAAATTAGTGTTTAATTAATAACTTAAGTCATTTTTTGTAATACGAAAAAAATTGTATAAAATAATATAACCTATGTTAAAATAAATTGTTAAGTGTAAAGAAACATTAAATTGACTGAGTTTTATTATTTAAATAGTCTAAGCAACTCTAATGGATAGCGGATGAGAATGCTCAGAACATTAAAACTTCGATATATTGTATCTTGCATAGAATAGGAAATTATATTGTATATTATTATTGTGTAGAAAATTTTTATTTTATTAGTTGAGATTATAAATATAATAGAATACGCGTTAGAAATAGAATTATAAATCAATATATGGATTAGGTATTTGTGTAGTTAGTGTATAAATATGACTTCTTATATATGCAATTTGAGATATACCCATTTATAGTTATTGTTTAGCTAGATTACTGTCTAATATTTTCATAGGTCTCTGAGCCCATTTCTCCCGGGTAAATCGGAATGAAGCGGCAGTCTTCATAGGGCTGAATGGTGCTCAATAGACTCAGGAAAACAGGGCCAAAGGTATTTACGAATAAGTTACAAGAATTACCAATTACGTCCGGTAGAAGATCACAGGTGAATCGCATGGTGTGTAATATGTTCTTTCGCTTTTCTTTGGTATTCACTAAGCTCTCAATTTCCGATAGTACCAATTCGCACATTCTGCGTATAGGGCCATTCTCAGGTGAAGCCAACATTAATGCCTCAAAGTTTTCGTATTCCGATTTCAATTGCATTTGCAAGTTATGGATAGAATCATTATATTGCTCCTTAGTGGTGCAAAGCTGCACCATTTGACAAATTCTCCTTGGCGAAGCTCTTATTATCGTATCCATACCTAATATACCATACTTATTGAGTACTGTCCTACAGATACTACGGAGATTGGGGGGCAAGTAGTTGCAAATATGTCTGAAATCGGAAATTAAATGATTCCGCTTCACCTTAGTATTGATGAACGTCTTCATTTGTATTACGACCAGCTGGCAAAGCATGCAACCGCCAGGCAACATCGACTGCAAATGAGTGGTAGATATTAGGTAATATATTAGCATTATATATTTTATACATACACTGATCGCGCTTCTCGGACAGAGAGTCAAGAGTCTCGTCAACATTCATAGCTAAGAAATATATAGAGTTTGTCGTTAATAAAGGATAATGAATGTAGCTATAGTCAAGGAACTTACCATCCTGGGCCTCGTACAATAGGCACATGTTTAGTTCTCTGCAGATCTGTTGATGCGCCTTATTCGACAAAACTAGTTTCTTAATCGAATCGGAGTGGTGACTCAACATCTTTCTACATTGGCTCTCCAGGTTTTTCGTCTCTAGCAGATAACAGACGTGATCCAATGCGATTTTGCTATCATTATGGTATTTTATGAGTTCACGCATCTTCAGGATCACCATTTCGCAGAGCTCACAGTCGCCAGACTGGCCAGCACCTGACTGCAGCTCCTCGCCATGATTTTTATCTAAGAGTTTAATTTCCAGTCTAATTGGTGTTGTCAACTGTTTGTTCTTGGTGCACAATCGCAGCATGCGACATATGCTTTCGTCATTCATTGAACTCTTCAATAAGTTATAGAGAGTGTGATAATACTCGTCAACGAGCAGCTTGCACTCAGCCTTCTTGACGTGCCATTTAATGCATAGGCCATTTAGCTTCTCCCTGAACTGGGCCTCTGTTGTGCCTTTCAGGATAGCAGCGCGCATATGCTTTACCACTTTCTTGCACTTTGTGCACACCGTCACCTCGTTCCAGACTGCGGTCGATAGCGCTGCCTCTCGTTCGGTTGCAGAACTTGCACAAATGTCAATATCACGGCAAATCTCATTAGACTGCAGATACTGCTTGGCCAGCCCATAGATCTCGTCAAAGTAGTTGGCCACGATGTTGAAGCAAGCCTCCGATAGGCTGTCTAGGCTGTTGCATGTGTCCAGCAAGCTTGCAACCAACGCGTTGCGTTCGGTGGACTCAAACTTCTCCTTCAGGGTGAGTGCGAGCTGGTTGCAGCTGGAGCAGGATAGCTGATCCGATGGCTCCAAGTTTTCCTCTGTCGCGACGTTGCAGAGCTCCATCAATGTACAAATTTGCTGTAAGCAGATGAGTGGGAAAATATTTAAATATACCTTATGTATATAGACAATTCCTAAATTTCTCTTACATCATGATTCATTTCCGACCCCATCAACTCAATCAACACTGATGAATAATTTTCTGTGTTTTCCACACATCTCTGTTGCATTTGTGTATCGGATATATGCTTGCAGGACTCTTTGAATATCGGCTGAATCACCTCATTGCAATTATTGCAGGGTATGTGAGTGCGTGCCTGGTCAATCATGTCCTTGCACAGCTGACAAACGTTATTTGCGTCCACAGGCACCAAACGCCTCTCCCAGACATTTTTGAGACAGAATTCAGTAGCGTGGCAGTCCCTAGCATTGCTGCAGATATATTAAAAGATTGAATAAGTGAAATATCTATATGGATATTATATTATATATTTTTTCTGAGTCCATGTGATTAGTCACATTCAATCGCAGTGCCTCAGCATGAATAATTATTAATATTAGGTTGCTTTTTCTTTCATTTTAAAAATATAGGCAATAAAAAATGACGATTAAACCGCAATGTTTCATTAGGCCAGCGCATATTCATGATTCGAAAATATAAAAAAAAAATTAAGTAAGATTTTATTAAAAACTGAAAGTCAAGATGCAATATTATTTAAATATAATATTTATATATATAAATTTATATAAATGTCATATAAAAATTATATATTGCTTGCAGTTTATGTGTAATAAATATTTGTAAAATGTTTTGTTTTTACAAGAATTAGCGACATTTTTATTGAATAGATATGTATTTTTTTTATTTGATTTTATTTATTTATTTGCATTAAATTTTAGTTTATTTTTATTTTGAATTTTATTTTCTTTAACTATTTATTTATTATTGTGTGTATATATTGTTTTTAATTTTGAATATAATCTTACCTTAAATTATCGCACCAGTTGTTTGGATGCCAATTGCAATGTCTCTGATTTACTTCATCGATGGGCGTTGAAGAGACCAAAGCGCCTTGAGCAGGCAATGACAGAAATAAAATACACACGTATAATATAAAGCATTAAATATATGTTAAAATATATGTTCTCTAAATGTAAATTTATTCTTTTTAATACAATATTTAATATTTATTATTAAGCAATTAGTCAAATTAACACTTTCACTTTATCCAGCTAAGTTTGTATTATTTATTCACTAATGTGAATAAAATCAATGACAAATTGCACTCACTGCACAGAATTGCAGCCACTATGGGCAAGAAGCTCGCAGATCGCATATTTTCTCGAAGCTCCTTAGACTTTTAGCACTTTACTTGATATTCCAAAAAGAACTGTAGGAGAAATTTTATGGATTGGTCTTATATAGCTCAAGGGTGAGTAATGTTATTTAAATCATAAACTGTATGTTATTGTGGTCAAGATTTCTAGAAAAAATATAAAGCATATATTTATTTATTATAAATGTGTATATATTATATGAATATATATGCATATGTGGTATGTGTTATACCTTTGTATATATACCTTTGTAGATTTTATTTAAAATTATAATATTTATATTTTAATCTTTTAATTCTAATTAATTCGAATAAATAGGCCCCAATTACCAATGCCTGAGCTTCCATTAAATTATTATTAATAATTCAATAGCAAATTAGGTTGCTGTGTTGTTTATTTGTTTTTATTATAATATTAGTGTATTTAAATTTAGTTTAAAGTGATGCATTTCCAACATAATAATCATACAAAATAATAAAAATGTATGTTTGGTAAAGACAAGCGATTGAGCGCTGAGCCAATTGCACTTAGTAAATTAAATTAAAGTAAATTTTGTTTTCTTAGAAAGATTGTAAGAGTAAGAGTAAGCAATAATATTATGATTAAAGCATCTCCAAGTCGTCAGCGCCAACAACTGAAATGAAGATGTGATTAGTTTATGTCTCATTAAAGTTGCATTTTAATTATTTTTCTATATATGTATGTACTCACAATCCACCTCTAAAATGCCGCCGCTCCGGCACACGTGAATCGCCTTGCATATCATTTGGACTGGCGTATGCTTTATCATCTGATCGATAATCTGCGCGCCATGTTCGTTGATTATATGTTCGCATTCATGTTGCAGCTTTCCCAACTTGTGGCAGACGTGTGCCAAAGCCCTTGCGACCTCGCCCTTGTCTGTGTGGTGGCGCACCATGTGCTGTAAGGCCCTCATTGCCGCCTTACAGATCGCACATTTGGACGGCTGCAAAGCAATGTCCGTTAAAGTTTCTTCCTCTTCGTATGCTTCGTACTCTACGTATTCCTCTTGATCCTGTGCAATTGGTGAGCACATGGCCAACAGAGAGCATAGTACAGTGGGATTCCTTGCGAAGCGTGCCAGCTGATCTCCATGACTGTTGACCACTTTTTGGCATTTGGTTGCTATTTTCCCCAGCTTATTGCAAGCTTTATTCATGGCACTCTTGAGCTTCTCATTGCTAATGTGCGAGCGCACGCATGCCAAGCATTGCGGCGAATGCGGCGCATTCTCTGTGAAATCAAACAGCTGATCTTCGTCTGTCACGAAATCGAAATCATTTTTACTTTGCTCGCTGTTACACAATTCCATAACTGTGCAAATTTGCTGTGGAAAGGATATAAGTTACTACACCACGGAAAACCAAGTACCCAGACGATATCCATAAAGACTACATCTATTTATATACCTCAGGAGTCATTTGCGAGGACATCAACTCAAGCAGCGCGAGCAAATAATATCTTGTATTTTTACTACATTTCTGTTGCATCAGCTAATGGGGCATTTGCTCACAGGAGTCCTTCAATAATTGTTGCAGTTCTTCTTTATCATTATCACGGAAAAGCTCTTTGCGTGCCTCGTGGATCATGTCTTTACACAACTGACAAACCGGATGGGAGTCCACAGGCACCAAGCGCTTCTCCCATAGTGTTTGGATGCAGTGTTTGGTTGCTTTACAGTCTTTGGCATTGCTGCCATGGAATACCAAGAGAGAAATCAGTTTGAAATGAAATTGTAGAAAATACGAATTTAAAATTTGAATGGACTAAGCTTAGGTATTTTACACATATTTGCCTCAAATCTAGCATATTTATTTTCCAATGGTATTAAAACAAATAAAATGACCTTCTTATTACTAATAATACTATGATACCAAACTTTTGAATACCTCTTCCTAAAATATGTATAAGTTTCTCAGTTACTTATTTGAAATTAAAATGTAAATATGTATAGTGACTGAGTATTTATAGAACTGAACTCAATAAAGAGACCCTCATAACTGAAATAAACCCCCATACATTAAAGTCTATAATTAAGCTAAGAACTAAGTTCGATGCGGTCGATATTATTGTACAAAAAAACAATCAAGTTTTAACCATTGATGAATATTAAATATGAATCAGTAAATATTTTGTTTATTAGTAAGCGGAGTTATGCGATATAATAGTTAAGCATTTAATTGTAAAACTGCTAGTTCTTGAATTAAAAAATCATTACCGGTGCTACACTTCATAAAATATATATAAAAAACTTTCTTCTAATTTTTTCAATAGATTATTATATACATGTTTTTCTTATGGGTTTACTTTTTACCTCAAATTGTTGCACCAGGTTGTTGTGTGCCAATTGCAATTGCCTTCACCTAGTTCCTCAATAAACGTGGAGGATACAAGAACGCCTAGGATTGGTAATAAAAATATTATCAAGATTTCAATTCCATTTGGAATTGATAAATGAAGTTAAATATGTGTTAGTTTATTGCTGAAATGTTAATAAAAAGAAAGAAAGGAAATATAACTGTATTTTTAGAACCTTAAACCTATTGAAAAAGCAAGATAAGCGTTTAATAGGCAGCAGAAGGAGACGTGACAGAGCTCTTAGAGTATATATGATCGTGTTCAGGGCATCGAGCTGAGACGATTTAGCATTGTTCGTTTGTTTATTTTCTCTGAGAAATAATACCCCTAAGTATTTCCTCTGCGTATTCCCTCTTAGTTTTTCTTGTATGCATTGTCTCTAAGTAATTCTTCCAAGTTCTTCTTCTGAGTCATTTCTATAAGACTTTCATTAAAATCATTCCTTCAAGCCTTTAATACTCACTAAAGCACTTTACTTCACTTCACTGCACGGTAGGACTGACCCCACGAGGCCTGGGCGACTGAAGAAATGCTGCAGCTGCTGCCTTTTATATAGGGCCACTTTTACTCAAGCGCAGTCTCTCTGAGATGTTGAGTCCGGCGTCAGGTAGATCTCGTTGTAGTCAAACTTAAGTGACCAATGGGAACACTTTCTGCTCCCTCTGCTGCTGGATATACATAAAGAACTTAAATGATCTTCTGCACTTCTTCTTTCCTGGCTTTTGATAGACGGACAGACAGTGAGACAGTTATACAGACAGACATACGAACATATCTACGCATGTATTAGTAAACTAGCACGCATAGCTCATTACGCTGCTCAAGAACATATGTGTGCTTATGATTGATAAGTCTAAGTTTTGTGCTCGATAACTTCTGCTCATTACATTTAAATGTATAATTATTAACTGGCATTCCCCGCTGCTTCCTCTACTCTATACATAGTTCTCTTAAAGAGTGGAACTTCTACGCGAATTATTCGTCTGCATCCAAACTCATTTTCAATATTATTTTTTTCTGACATTTATTATTATATTTTTATACTCATTCACGAAGTGAATTATTATACTCATTCACGAAGTGAAT